TGTATACTTACATGGTGCGGCCCGAGTTATTCCTTAAACATAGTGGTAACTAGCCTCTGGTAAGTTGCCCCTGCATTCTTCAGCCCGAAGGACATGACCTTGTAGCAATAGGTTCTCCTTGAGGTGAGGAATACGGTCTTTTCCTGATCTTCCGGATGCATAGCAATTTGGTGATAACTCTTGTACACATCCAAGAAGCTCATGCGCTGATGATGTGCCGTTGCGTCCACAAGTTGGTCAATTCTGGGAAGAGGAAAACAATCTTTAGGACAAGCCCTGTTCAAATCCGTGAAATCCACACAGACGCGCCAAGATCCATTCTTCTTCTTTACAACCACGGTATTGGACAGCCACGTGGGCTAAGTTACTTCACGAATTGCCCCAGCATCAAGCAACCTCTTAACTTCATCAACAACGGCCGATGCATGCTCCGCGGCTAACCGCCGACTTTTCTGAATGATTGGTTTGAATTTTGGATCGATGTTTAAACGATGCTGGGCCACGGCTGGATCCACTCCAGGCATTTCGTATAGTGTCCATGCAAACACGTCGAGGTTGCCGAGTAAGAAGGAAACCAACTCACGTCTGTCAACTTCGTTCAGGGACGTGCCGATCATGAAGAATTTGTCAGGGTTCCCATTGATTTCGATCCGATCAAGATCTTTAGTTGCCTTCTTACTGGGGATTTTCCCAATGTCCTTGAGACTCTCTCGATCCAGTACTTCAATCGAGTTCACATCCAGTTCTTTTGGCCTTTTTACAGCAGCAATAAGATAGCATGCCTGTACTGATTTCTAAGAGCCCCGAATCTACTCAATGCCATATTTAGTTAGAAAACAGAGTAGTTGATGGTAGGTGCTTGGCATAGCTTGCATAATGTGCAACCAGGTCCTTCCCATGATAAGATTGCATGGTGACGGGAGTTTGACGACCAGAAATTCCACGTCGACTAATTTGGTACCCGCCCGTACTAGTAGTGTGATCCTGCCTAAGGGATGCTCGGGGTTGTTTGTCGTTGAAACTGAATAGTGGGTAATCGGCTGGTAACAAATCTGAATCAGTGAAGCCAAGTTTAATGAACGTCTTATAATACGTTATTTCTAAGGTGCTCTCCTAATCGATGAGAACACGCTCGATTGTGAATCTGTTCACGCGTAGCTCGACGACGAAAGAATCAGCGTGGGGGAGAGTTACTCCATCTAGGTCGGTGTTGTCGAAGTTGATCTTGCCAGTTTCATGGGGTTGTTTGGCTAGTGTGATTGGCTTGGACAGACTAGGTTGTAACTGAATTGTATGTACTTAGGCTGGCGACGGTAGACTATATGAATTCGGCCATAAAGCTATCGTGTTTGGTAGATTGTTCTTTCGAACATGTTGCGCCAGCCAGTCGTCTTGCACTAATTCCTTCAGGTGGTCCTTCAGTGCATAACAACTGTTAGTGTCGTGGCCATGGTCCTTGTGATATTCGCACCACCTATCCCCTCTCCTAGTATTAGGGGGCCCCATCATCTTGGGTGGCTACTTACAAAACGAAAGATGCTAGTCTTTGGATAGGATCTTATTGATCGGCTCTGCCAATTCCGTATACTTCTTGTCCAAACATCTGGTGTACCTGCTATCCACTTGATACTGTTCGTTCGAACGATGTGAACACTGCCCGTTTGATTGGCGAGAGTCACGCCGATTGTCTAGATTAGCCCAAGTCCGAGGTTCAGGGCTCCTTAGTGGCACGACGCTTATTGGTTGAACCAGACTAGATGAAGCCGATTTAGGGACCTTCTGTCTGGCCTTGACCCATAGGGCATTGTCTTCCACCTTACAGTACTCCTCAAACTTTTTCATTAGTGCCTAGACTATTTTGGGCCGTCGTCTGGTTAACGAACTGCAAAGAGGACTATCGGAGTGTAACCACATCTTAAAGGTAGTAATGGCCATAGAATCATTGCAGGCATCATCCATCAAGTTGAAACACTCCCAATAACGCGCCAAATACTCACAGAGGGTCTCTTCTAGTTTAATTTACATCACCCAAAGAGAGTCGGCTTGCTTTGGCTGAACCTCGTTGGTGATGAATTTTGTCCTGAAGGATTTTTGGAGTTGATGAAAACTTTTTATTGACGCCGGCTCCAGTTTATAGTACAATCTGACTGCCAATGGTACCAGGTTACTTGGAAACATTCGACACATGAGGGCTTCATCATCAACATGCAACGTCATCGCTTGTTTGTAATGAAGAATGTGATTTGTGGGGTCTGATTTTTCGTCGTACAGGGTAAATGTCGGTGCGTTGAACTTTTTAAGCAATACAGCTCTTGCAATGCGTCGTACGAAAGGGTCGTGCCTGTCTTCTTCATCAGAACTATCACTTCATTTCCCTCGCCTGTGTCATACATATAGATTACCCTCGGATGAGCTAGATACATCAACTCGCCCCTACTTTTTGGATTCCTGAGATGGTGAATCGGAATCACTGTCACTATCATGTTTCCGATGTCGACGCCGTTGATCATCATTCTTCTTCTCTGGCTATCGATCCCGGACATGACACGTGGCCTGTTGGGATTTGGCTACCTCCAAGGCCAATTCCTTACATAAACGCTCGTTATCGACTGACATATCTTCTAGGCATTGTTCATTTTATTTTGTTTGATCCAGGATCATCTGTATAGTCTCCTGCATAGAGGTTGAGGGTGAGGTTTGAGCTACTGAGTTGAAGTTCAGGGCCCTTCACGCGGTAATATTCTCCAGTCCAAGCATGTTTCTTGGAGTAACATCATCTCTTGGTGTAACATCGTTAGCAACGAGCGAAGGATCATTTGTTACACTTGCCATGAATGTACTTGAGTATTTCCACAGACAGCGCCAATTGTGGAAAAGGAGGTTTGGAAATACTTTTCGATCCAGGTAGACGCTCTTGATTCTTTGGTTACTATCTGAAAAAGGAATGAACACTCCGGTCGAAGCTGCCAGAATTAGTACTCCGATGGGCAAGTTAGTATTCTCTCAAATCTTACTTTTATTACAAACTATCTCTTTTTCTTTTTCATACCTCTCTTTGGCTGACGTTCCTCCCTTTTCATATTACGTCTAGGCCCAAGGATCGAGCCCACTCTTGACCTTGCATATAATTATCTAGTCGGCCTACCAGTTGAGTGTGTTAGCTTCCGTTTAGCTCCTTATATGGCCGATTCATATACTCGGCTTCATGGGCCTCTGGTTAGGGCTGAATTGTCTTTGGCTTAATGTCTCAACTGGACTGCTCGGCCTTTCTTCCTTATTGATTAAATCCGACTTCCACAGTATCCTTATTTGAATCATATCACCACTCTACTTTTTATCATCCCAAATATCGCTCAAGCGGCTTTCTCTCTTTCTCTCTCTCTTCAACTTTCGTCTTGATGGTATAAAAGTTTTAATTGAAACATTTTTATGAATAAAATATTAAATTAATTATTTAGTTCATTTTTATATGAGATAAAATAAAAAATTAACATAATAAATGAAGATGAAATCTTACTATATTAATTTGAGACATCTCACATAGATGTAGATTTTCGACTTGCGCTAAACACCTACAAAATTTGTTGCAATATTTCATGATTATACCCCCATTGAGATTAGATAGACACTTGTGTTACTAACTGATCATTCTGAAGTGAGTAATAATTTTAAAAAATTCTTTCAAAAAATGAGCATGCGATTGCCAATTGTCAACAATTGGATCTTCAGTAATGTGCCTTACAAATTGCCACATCTTCATCAATGATTAATGATTTTCCTCTCTTTGTTTTTAATAAACCTCCCATAAAGATTGTGTAAAAAAACAAAAAAACAAAAATATAATTTGAAATGTTTTGCTGTGGTGTTTGTATTTGTATTTACTACAAAAAGATGACTACTTTTTTTTTATCGTCTCATTTATAGTTAGGACTGCAAACAAATTGAGCCGAGTCGAACTTTAGTATGTTTAGACTTGTTTATTAAAATTTTAACGAGCTTGAGTTCGAATCCGTACTCAATAAAAAATTAACGAACTGAGTTCGAATTGAGTTGACTTAGACTTAACTGGAGTTCGAACTTGTTCACGAGCCTCAAAGAAATTATAAATTCATTTTTATGTATGAAACTAAAGTTAAAATTGAAACTTTCATTATATAATTATAATATATATATATATATATATATATATATAACCATATTAAAAAAAGTAGGGGTTGTTTGGGATGATCTAAATTAATGCACTTTTTGACTTTTTAAATTAAACAGTTGAGAAAAAATATGGTTGTTTGGGTTAATTTTTTGACTTTTTATGAAAAAATGTGTATTAAAAAATTATATAAATTAATGTATGGAGGAAAATTAAGATTGGGAGTTGTGCAGTCGTACTGTTTGACTTTTGGTAAATAATGATAACTTTTTAACTTTTTGAGTAACTTTTTGACTTTTTAGGCACATGTCAAACTTGACTTTAATATCTTATCAAAATAATAATCTCTACCACTGCTATTATATAAATATATTATCTATAATTAGCTTAGTATTATTGATATATAAATAAATTTTACTATGATTTATATTTATATTATTTAAATATATAAATAATGCATAATCCAACGACTGAGATGAAGACTGAAATTAGCTGTTATGATCCCAACTCTCTCTCATCCTATCACTCTCAAGCCGTAACTTATATGGCTTCGTTTGGGAAGCCATGGTTTGAATTTTTTTGGCTATTTTAGTCACAAAAAATAAAATAGGTTATTTTAAGCATAACAAACAAAACATCACATACAACCCATAATCATTACATTATTCTCTCACAAAAAAACTCAAAAAAGTCAAAAAAATCAAAAAGTCCTTCCCAAACCAAGCTTTTAAACCCAGGCTAAAATAGCTAAAAAAGCTAAAAAGTCAACCCACTTCTCAAACGGAGGCTATATAAGTGTTAGGACCTCTCCACTTTCATCATCCCAAATACCTCTCTCTCTCTCCCTCCCTCCCTCCCTCCCTCATCACCGATCAATCTCCTACCTTAAACACCTCTCTCTCTCTCTCTCTCTCTCTCTGGAAATCTCTCTCTCCCTCTCTCTGGAATATTGGGATCACTCACAAATCAGTCGTCTCTCTCTCTATCACTCTCTCGATCTTCATCGCTCATCACGGACCCCCTGTACGATCCCTCGTCTGAAATTGAAACTAGGTCGAAATCCAGGTATTTCTTTTGGGGTTCAAAATTCGTTTTAAATTGCTTGGTTGCTCTTAAAATTTGTTGGAAATTGCTTGATTGCGTTGAAATTGATTTGATTGTTGTTGTTGTCTGAAATTGCTTGTGATTTTTTTTTAAGGGTTTGATTCTGAAATTGCTTGTTGTTGTTTCACATTGAAGAATGCTATTTATTTATTTATAAGGAGGGAATCATAGGTTGGTCGACTTATTAGCTATGCAAACAAAATATTATTAGTAGGATAAAAAAAAAAAAGGGGAAAGGGAAGGAGTAAAAAGAAGGTAACTGGTGAAGCTAAGCTTCATATCTGTGATGGCCTTTTATGCATGTTTTGTTTGAAGTAATAGTTAGTAATTATTTTCTAGTGAGGGATTCTTGTATGACAATTCATTGCTATGCCCCTATAAAACATGGTACTTCAAAAAAGCATGCCGTACTATCTCTTATGTACTTCTGCATATGTACCGGTACACAAAACATGCACTTAAATTTTTTCTTAATTTTTGACATACCATGACATATTTAGTATATAACCGTAACGTACCTCAATTAAAACAATATTTTCTTCTTACTAAACTTCTATGATTTTAAAATTAGACTATGGTTTGTAAGTTATTTAATATATTGACATTTAATTTTACTTTATACCTTTACTTTTGACATTAAATGTTAATTGTAGGTTAGACCTTAACACATTGAACCATTTAATTAATTTTTGCATTACTCTAAATTAAAAATAAATATATTTTTTTTATAAGTGTACCAAGCCGTACCCGTTCTCTATTTTTTAAAAATTTTACTGTATCGACATACCAGTACTAGTACTCGTACCCGTACCCGTGCTTCATAGCTACGCCCTCATAATCTTAGTTTGATATATGTAATATGACTTCTCCGATGATGTAAAGCACTTGGTACACATATCATCCGATCTTTTTTGGTTTTGATGTCATTTGTTGACTATGGAGCATCTAATGTAAAGTTGCTTGATCTGATCTGATGCATTATTTTATTATATCTTCTGTCTGTCTGTCTGTCTGTCAAATCACTAGAAAATGATGGTTTCTTTTCAATTACCTAACTTATTATGTGTACACATCCTTTGTATTGCAGAGATGATCCAGAACTTGACAGAATGTGTAAGGAGAGAGTTAGATGGGGTGATCCTATGGCACATTTGGTCAAGGTAACTAGTAGTGACTTGCATGCGTGTAGACTCTAGTTTGCTGAAATGCCAAAATTTGTACTGATTTTTGAATTGTTCCTCAATGTTTCAGAAAAAGTATCCTGAGCTTGTTCTATCAGACCTAGGAGATGATGATAAGATGAAAGAATCAGGGTTTATAGTCCCTCAAGGCATTCCTAGTCACAGCTGGTTAAAAAGAGGATTAGATGCTCCTCCAAACCGGTATGCCATCAGACCAGGGAGACACTGGGATGGGGTCGATCGTAGTAATGGTTTTTTTACTTGCACCTCTTTTCTTCAGTTAGATGTATTTTTTGCCCCCAAAATGCCTTCAGCTTATATTTTACTCTCCATTTGTTTTGTAGGGTTTGAAAAGGAAATCTTTAAAAGAACGAATGAGAAACAGGCCACGGAAAGAGAAGCATATCTTTGGTCTGTATCAGATATGTGAAGTGCAAGGACTGTATTCTTCATGCTGTTGCTACAGGGGTAATACTCAGTTTAGTGTTTGTGTTAAGTGGTAGTTAGAGATGAGTACAAGAAAAATAGCTTGGAAAAGAAGTTCTGATGTGCTGTAAAAAATAAGGATAGACAATAAAAGATGGTTATATACATTGCCTGTAGTGCATGCAGCCCTGTTCTTGCTTCTATAATATTTTTGGGACAAGTTTTTTTACTAATATAAATTGTTCTTTAGAATACTCATGCTTGACTGATTTACATCACAAGATTGAGTGCTCAATTGGTCACATGGTTTGTTTTTGATATTGTATACCACCTCATTATTTATCCCAGTTTAATGATTTTATAAGATGAGTTGCAATTGAATGTATTTAGATTAGATTATAAAAGAGAGGAATATGTGTATGCTCCATTAATGTTGAGAAGTTGTGATGCTGTGCATTTATTCCTTCCATCTATATGCTAGCAGCTACATTGTATTTGATTATGCTTCTACAGCTGTTGTTGTGAAGGGTCTCTTACAGAAGACAACTGAGGAAGATTTATCCCAGATCCTTGTACTTTTCTACTCAATATTTTTAATTACTTCATTTGTTACTTCATCTGGACATATGTGCATAATTATATGAGAGTAACATTTTCAGTTAATACAAAAACTATTATTTTTTGAATTATGTATTGTCCAACTAAGTGTTTTTGCATTGCGTGATAGTAATGTTTTGGTTACGGCAGAGGCTCTTGTAATATGTATATCTGATTTTTTACATTAAGCTGGTCGATTTTCTTCCCCTCTTTGGCTGTCTATTTTTCATGTTCTATTTAACAATTAACCATGAATTATACCAAATTGGTGGATTTTCTTTCCCTCTTTGGAAGCAGTGTAATGAGCCACGAACAGCTGATGCCCTACCAGCAGATGTGGCATCGTCAAATCCCACAACAGTGGGGAAGAAAGGGGAGGCAGGTTAATTTTTCTGATGCTTTCACTTGGCGTGCATTAGGATCATGTGTAGGAGATTTGCTGAGTTGACATTTCATCAGGTCCTACCCATGTCTTCGTTGTCCGTGGGTTGGATGAAAATGCTAATGAAGAAATGCTTTGTTATGAGTGTTCCAAACATGCTCCAATTAAGGTAAAACATGCTGGATTTGTTATATAGGTTGCTGTAATGTAAACAAAAACGGAAAGTCCATAATGGCTAAGGGCCGATAGATATATAAATATGTATTGTTTACTTATATATAAGGTACTGAAATGTCTATGCTGTGTTTCATTCAAATCTGCTGAAGTTGTACATATTTTAAAACTGTAAGATCTTCGTCTGGTTAGAGACAAATTTACTCATGTTTCAAGGGGATTTGCTTTTTTACATTTTCATACGGTATGTGTATTTTTTGTTGTTGATTCAGCTGAATGCTGACCTGAGTAAATGTATTTGTACACATTAGTTTATGGGTGATGTATAAATAAGTGGCACGATGGCAACCAGAGATTGGGATGGAATTCTACCAATTTTTGGATTAACGTCAATCAGTGCATGCTTCAAACTTATTAGATAACTAAATTTATCCACAGTAGACTTGTCTCAGCACCCTTCAAATGGTTTTGCGTTCCTTTCTCCTCAACTACTTGACGTTAAGCAAAGGAGCTGTGTCTCTCTCTGTCTTCATCCTCCTATATTCTACTCCACGCCTCCAACTATCTAGGTTGGATGCTAATTGTGGGAACACCCAAGTAACTCCAAACATGGAACAAATACCTAAATCTCCTTAACAACACTATAATGAATAATTGGTGCATTGTCTCCCTCGTGCTTTGTACATAAAACATCAATTTGGAGTGTTGTGCTTTTGTAAATCCAAATTGGTGAGAATCTTCTTATGTGCAATAGTTCACCCGAAAAAATGGCCACCTTTGACCAAATTCCCTTCTTTTAAGAGAATAGTTGTTAGTGCTCATCAACAGTTTTATAACAATTTTACAAGAGTGATCCCACACAGCTCCGACAGATTCAAGTAAAGTCCAACTGAGTTTTTTTGTCCATTGTAATCCCATCTAGAGCTGGAACTAGCAACTTGAAGTCCCAGAGCAAGTATCATGCTGAAAGCTCACCCTGACACTCTTCTACAACAAACTAATGAGTTTTTATGCTTGTATTATCGTATGCCATGAAGATTTCGCCTCTGAACTGCTATTGATGAATGCACATTAGTGTTTAATGTAGAATTGTGGCAAAGAATGAGGACTGTTGAGGAGCACAATTTATGTGTATTTTTCTCGATTACCATGTAATGGGCTTGTGGTAAATTAAGAAATTCCCATTTCTGAGTTTCAACATTTATTTACCAAGTCTAGCACAATGGCCCGGCATAAAGACTATATGATCTTTCATTTTTGCTCTCAAAATGTCACTTGATTTTGTCACACTGATATAATTTTGATTAGACAAATGGGACTGCTTAGCTGATTTATGAGTTGCAACGGGGCTTCACTTTAAAAACTACGTAAGATGCAAACTGCAATTCTAAGGGCATTGTGGTCATCTCAGTCTTTATGCTTTTTTATTTTTGATGTATTTTTTTTCCACTCTTAAGTTGAAAGAGATAAAGCTTGCTTCAAGGAGCAGTATTCTGGCCAACAAGAAGAAAATGAGTAATGTGAATGTGGAAGCAGAGGAGTCATGAAGGACAAGCACCCCGTGTAGCTCTTGATTACAATCAGCCATCTGCTTCAGCTGAAGATAAATCCAATTCTGTTGGAGCGTCCACAAGGAGCAGGTACAAAATGGAAGCAGTGATCACGAAGGAGAATATAACTACCAGTTCTGGATTTACCACAGCCAGATCTACAACTGCTGCCCAGTCAGGATAAGCCAAGGTCGGTGAGTAACAGCTCAGGGGGTACTGTAAAGGGGGTAATTAGAGGAAGGGTTGTGGTGAAATCAGATATCCTGGAACTTTAGTGGGAGCTTCATCCTCTTCATCTGCTGCTCCTGCTGCTGCATACCCTGCTGGTTCTTCATCAATGAATGCAGATGCACCCAAAACTGTGACACCTTTTAGAATAGATGCATCTGCTTTGGGTTCTTACACACCACCAGTGACTTCTGGAAGCGGCAAGGGGAGGTTTTCTGAGATGCCAGTGCAGTCAGCTTCTACTCACAAGGAACAATCTCAAACTACCTATCAGGATTGGGCAGCTGAGAGGAGGAGCTTGTATGGTTCAACATCTTCTATTGGAGACGATGTATCTGACCTTGGGATTGGGGATTCAAGTAACCTCACTTGACAATTTGTTATATAGTGGCTTAGCCCTTGACTCCATGTCATGAAGCCATTCTTGAATGCACCTTTTAGATTGATAGAAATACCTGAAAAGAGTAGAATCATTGCACTTGGTAATTTAAGTAGTTTTATACATATAGCCGTGGGACATTTGATTTGACAAAATTTAGTTGAGTTGTGATTTGTAAGTGTAGTTATATATGAGGTCAGTGGTCGATTGTTTGCTTTATGTTTCTCAGTATTTGTATTAACTTGTTAGAAAATCCCTTGTTTTTAGGTAATCTTGAACTTTCAAGTTCGAGATTCATCATCCAAAAGGGTTTAATCGATTCGGTGCCTTTTCCCCCCTGGTGTTGGGGGAGGACATGGTTTTGGAGATAGAGTCATGAGGTGATTACAGCAGACAAAGCCATTAATGAGAGTAATGTGGGAAACTGGATGCTTCGCAACATGGGCTGGTAGGAAGGCTTGGTAATTGTAGACACCCCATTTTTGACCGACCTTAAGAATCAGACGTCACCAGTTGAGCGCTCGGTGATACTACATATCGTGCTCGTTTAGAAGTCTCAGAGTCACGGTCGTGAGCCCTGCCTCCAAATTTCCGAACCCTCTTCTGTGCCTTGTCTCGGTTTGCGAACCAGACTCGGTTTTCTCTGTTTCTTTTCCTAAAGGGAGGGAGAGGTCCTGTAGACCATCTCTCAGTGGCCATGGGCTACATTTTGTGGCTGTAGGCCATTTTGCCCATTTCGGAGCCCGGTTCCCGATTTTCGGAGCTGTCAGGCCGTGTGCCTCGGTTCGGGACCGCTTAACCATCTCCTATTGCTTCGGTTTTTGGCGTGCATCTTATTTACTCCCTTTTGAGGGACACTGAGGTCTAGGAGACCCACTCCGTGGTCGAATGCCACTTTCGGTGCTCAACAGACAGTTTTCGGGACCTCGAACTGCGCGTTTTGGCCCCCGAACATTCGTTTTGCATCGGTTTTCGTTCATTTTTGGCAGGTACCTCTGTTTCATCACTGGGAAGGCCGTAGAAGGGTGGGAGGCCAGCAATTGTTTCAGCAACCAATTATATATCCTCCAACGCCCTCCGACGCCCGTTTTTCTTACTTCCAAGCCAATGTTGAACACCCTTGGGCCATTTTCTTGAACTTCTAACCACATATTTGTGATGTACACACATGGGAGGACCCTAAAAGTTGGTGGCCGGCCACTAATGTTGTTTGACCCTTTTGAACCCCTCCTAAAAATGGCCTATTCTCTCTCCTGTTTTACAGTTTGTAATTTTTAACCATAGGGTTGTGTTAAAGGCACCTGGGAGGACACCAATGTGAAGTGGCCGGCCACTAATTCAACTTGGCCCTTTTGACCCTTGGTCGGCCGGCCATGGGGGGTGGCACCCGCCACCTGAAACTGAGATAACTGGCCGGCCTTGATCCTTGCCCCCTGCTTAGTTCAAAACTGACCTCTTTGACCCCCCAGATTCTGTATTCGGAGGGCCAAATTTTTGGGGGGAAACTTGATCCATTTTCCCCCCCAATTTTCCCCCTCTTTTTCCCCTCCTTTTACCTATATAACAGAGCCTCCAGCTCTGGTTTTGAGGTTGGAAAAAATTGCCTTAGGCTCTTGTATGCATATCTCCCTCCATCTCATCCATTTCCTTCAAAAAACACCCAAACCCTACCCCATTTTCACACCACTATCTAGCATTACCACCACTACTCCATTTCCAGCAACTTGGAGAGATTTCCAGCAGCTAGGAAGCATCACTTCTCAAGCCAAGAAGCAATCAAGGGTTGGTCTTCAAGGGTAAACATCAATTCCCTCTTTTTGAGCTTAATTTTGCAACATTTTTCTAGCTAGTTTGCTTGCTGTTTTGAGCTCCGGCCAAAGCTGAAAGTACCCTTTATTTGAGCTATATTTCATGTTTCATTAAGGGACTTTTGTCATTTGAGGTCCCCATCTTGCACTTGCTTCATTATCCCTCTTATATACCGTAATCTTGCAATGTATTTTTGGCCTATGTGTGATCTGTTTTGGAGCATGATGTAAACTGTAAGTGAGCTTATTTTGAGCCCCTCTTCAACATTGAAGAATGGCTCATCACTGTTTGGGACCTCCATGTGCCACTTGTCATTATATCCCTCTTTGGTCCCCTTTTTTTGCATGATTTATTAGCCCATTATGCTTCTGTTTTTGGTCTTTTTACAGAACTGAAAACAGTCTTATTTTGACCCATTCTTCATGTTTCATTAAGGGTCTTTGGCTGTTTGATGAATGTTTTGTACACTTTGTGTTTTGACCTCTTTTGGGCCCTACCTTGCATAGCATGTTGAGCATACCTGTGCTGGTTTTTGTGGTTTTCCATAAACTGTAAAAGATCATATTTTGGGCCCCTCTTCAACTTTGTAGAAGGCCCCTAATCTGTTTGAGGTCAGCAGCTGTGAGTTGTTTCATTATCTCACATTTAGGGCCATTTTTGCATCCTATTTTTGCCCTATTTGTGTTTGCTGTTTGGCCATGCTTTGAACTGTAAAAATGCTTATCTAGGGGCTGCCTTGCTTTTGTCTTTTCATCTCATGTTCAAATTGTGCATGCATTGCATAGCTATAGGTCATTTCATGCGCCAAAATTCATGTTTCGGGACTTGTTCCATACATCTGGTATCATTTCGCTTTGTTTCGAGGCTGTTTTCCCCCTCGTTTTGCTACTGATTTTTGCATGTTTGCATATCATATTCCATGTCTTTTCCATGTCTCATAAGAGTGGCATTTCGGTGCCTGAGGGTCGGTCCTCGATTTGCGTGCACACGTGCACGCATTTCGAGTTGTCTTGTTTTCATCTGATGGCCTCCTATGTGAGTGTGGCTGAGGCTCTCTCATGTTGGTGTAAGCCCATTATTGCATTGCGTATGCCATTTCATCCATAGCATTGTGTATGCTCGGTTGTGTATCGTGCAGCGTGCATGCCATTCCATAACATTGTGTATGTTAGGATTGTATCTTAGTTGCGTTTCATGCATGTCATGCATATTGCATCGTGTTCGGGATAGGGGTTAGCCTGGGCACGGGAAACGAGGTGCATTTCGTACTCCAGGTGACGGAACGCGTCTCCATTCCCCAGTCACCAACACTCCGAATTATCCATGATGGAGTTAGGTTTTAGTTGAGTTTTCATATGCATTCATTCTATATTGAGTTGCATAAGTCGACTCCTCGGCCATCATGCATCGATATGCGTGATTGGTGGCACGAGGATCGAGGCATGCATACATCTGTGAAAATACATTGCTATGCCCCTCTCCTGCTCTCTGTTGCAGCAAATCAAGAATCAGCAGTCTTCCGGAGCTTGGCGCGCTTCCCAAGAATAATTGCAAAACAGAGGCTAATTGGGGCATCCCAGTGAATTTCCGCGCAAGGCAGCCCAAACATACATCATTCATCAGAGTTGAGGTAGTCCCTGGCTTGCATGCCGGTTTATAGCTTTCTTAGATTAATTTGTAAATTAATTAGCATTTCTGTATTATTTGGACTGTAATATTCTTTTATTCGGGACTGTATTATTCGGACCCTCTGTGCGAGGGCATAATTGTAATAAGTGTGCGTGACCCCACGTCTTTCTCCCTTTTATTTATCCGCTTATGATGGTTAGATTAGGGCATGTTTCAATTAGCATACAGTATGATAGCATGTTTGCATTCATTCATCTGTATTGCATGCACCTGGCTCGGCGCATCATACTAACTGCATTGTATTTTCAATTCCAAGTTGAATACATTTTAGCTGTAGCATTTCATATGTCATGTTTAGAATAGTCGAGCCTGCTATAGTTTGCATTTTTGCATGTGTTGCATTAGGCATTTCTGTATACTTAGGATTCACGCATGATTTCTAATGAGTTTTTGTTTTGGCTTGGAGTACTCGGTGAGTTTTATGCTTTAGCATCCTTTCATGCGTGTGAGTGACTGCCATAAATAGCATGCATACCATGAGGCTAAATGCTTATTTGATATAACTGTCTGAATGCCTGTGGGTGAAGTTTGGGTTACTTGGATTGGAATAAATCATCAACTGTTTGTTTTAAGCCCACTAGATAGTGGCAAAACCATCTTTTCTAAGCCCACCAAATTGTGAGTTTTAAGCCCACTAGATAGTGGCAAAATCATGTTTTCTAAGCCCACCCAAGGGTGGCAAAATCTGCATTTTAAGCCTACTTGCGAGTAGCAAGCCATCTTTCAAAAAAACAAACACGAAATGTTTTGTTTCAATTCAGGCGACCCGGTCTATACTTGTATGCTGTGCGCATCACATAGTAAATCTAGGCTAATAACCGGAATAAGAACACACAATGTTTTTCAAAAATAGATATCATGGTTAGTAGAGGCCGATCTTTGATCGGGCGAGCGGGGGTGCTCACGAAGTGACCTTCCCCAATCGTACCCAAGTTCCCGAGCCGAGGCAACTTTGGTGATGACGGACACGTGGCCTTTGGCACCGAGTCAGGGTTTCCTAAATTTCCCATTAAAAAAAAACATTTAGGTGGCGACTCTGTATCTGGCAAAGCAGTCTATGTTTGGCACTTCTTTTCTAAAAAATCTGTTTTCTCAAAACGATTTGCCGGATTTGGACTCTTTGGTTCAGACTTAGAATCGTGACAAATTTGAGAGTCCTGAGCTGTAGTGACCCCAAATGAACAGAACGGGAGCTCACCCTCCCGGGGCGTTCGGGGACGTCTACAGTAACATTTTCCACTCTTGCACCCCGTTTACATTTTGTGTGTTGAGTATTTGCTCTAAGCTAGTGAAATATGCCTCTTACAAATCTGATGGTGAGACACTCCTTTGCCAAGTGAGTCTTGTGGACATTGTCTGGTTGTTTCCAACCTTTTATTTAGATTTGTTATACAAGTAGCCCTTGCGCGAACAGGCTTCTAGCCCAGAGGCAAGAGTGGTTGGTAGCTCTCCTTTAGCTTATATCTGTACAACTTGTCACCCTTTGTTTAGAGGCTCCCCTTTCCATACCCTTAGGTAGGGTTTGGTTTATTGGAATGAAGATGGATTTTTACAGAAGCTAAGGAATGAGCATTTCATTTCATTTCATTCCATTCCATTCCATTTTCATTCCAGTGAACCAAACATAGCATTAAGAGTAGGCTGAATATATAAACTATATTTTGAATCCTCAAAATGTAGCACTTGCATATTGTCTTTCATCTCTCTGGTTTTGCCTGTCACCAGTTACTTTCTGTTTAATGATCTTAGGAGTTCCATAGTTTGAAAGGTATAGTAGTAGCTGGTAGTTGTTTCTTCAACATTTAGCAGGATTCTGACATTGCTTTGGGGTGTTGTTTTTTTGTTGTTTCCTCTGTGATTTGATGTGCAGGGACTTGGGAAGGATGAGAGTGGCATGGTAGAGCCTGTGCAAGCACAAGCAATGGAAAAAAGAGCAGGACTGGGGAGTCAGCAAAAGAAGTTGGATCCAAACTTGGGGGTGCAAGCTGGAGACAGTTATTGAACTCTCATTCAGAAGAAGACCATTGCCAGGTTCAGAGAGATGTCAGAGGATTAAGGAGATGATATTCAAAACAGTAAATGGATGGTTGTGCCAGAGATTCAGAGTTGGATGAATAAGTAGAGTCGTGGAAAATGCTTCTAGGTTATGAAGCTCCCATTACGGGGTTCTTTTTGTAAGAATGATGTTAAGGTTTCTTGCTCTTGTAAATGGTCAAAATTATAGTTAGAATATAAACTTCTGTTTAAGGATCTTATATTACAAGTGGTTTTCCTATTGCTCATGAGGAGGTTGTGAGTACTTTCTGATTCAGTTATGAAATCTCTGGCCCTATTTGGCTTCCTTATTTTGGAAAGCTTTTCGGCCTATTTTTTGGATATCTTTGGTGAATTATTTTTTTTAAAGAGTTTCTTGACTAGAAAATTGTTAAAATTTAAAATAAAGTAATACTTTTTAATAATTTAAAAAATTTATTTGTACACTTTTATAATTTTAATATCAAAATGATGTTTCTTAATAATTTAAGAAGTTTCTTTTGACCTATAAATTTTACACATTACAATATATTTTTTGCACTTTCAATACTACTTTCTCCCATTTACCACTACAGTTTTGATTATAATTTTTCTTGTTGGGTCTATAAAAAGTGGCCAATTCCGGTTTGGATTCTCTCTTCACACAAGGGGCAATTTTGCAATATAAGAAAATACAAGGTCCTTTATTGTAACATGAACAAAACGTGTAAGAAAATGTCATAAAAAAAGAAAGTGTGGTCGTGGGGAGTGTATCTAGACAGTGTGGTGGGCAGGTTGGCCACTGGTTAGCTTGGCTTTTCAAATTTGGAAAATTGGGCTAGGATGAAAAAGGTTTCCATAAATCTTTTCCAACCACTCATGATTATTATTTAAACATATAATAAAAATTAATTTAATAAAATAAATATGTAAAAGATTTATTAATTTTATATAATTTTATCTTTGGTGAATATAAATAATTTTTAAAAATTCAAAAATATTTTTTTGATATTTATTTTTTTCAAATTAATTTATATTTTTATTAAATTGATGACTTTACACTTGAAATTGAGCAATGGTATCTTCAATTGTACTTATTTAGAGTAAAATTTAAAATTCAAAGTCAAATATGTCATAATTAAAAAGTCAGAGACTAAAATGACACAAACCTCAAACTATAGAAACTCTTACTGTAATTTGTCATTTTTTTAATATATATATTTCCACTATACTATAATTTCTCCTATTAGAAACACTAAAAAGAATTATAAAAAATTCTACACATTAATCCCATGGTGTGAGTTCCCTGTATAAATATGGGTTTTTTTTTAAAGGTCCCTCGTATTAAGATTTTATAGCATAAAGGACATCTAATATTTTCATAATCTCTAAAGTCCCTCAAGTTGATCCAGAGAAAATTGGTCCAGAGAAAATTCACGTCACAATTTCTCTGACCTTCCCTAAACTTCCCATTGTAAATTTCTCTACCCTCCTCTTCTCCAAATTTCTCTACCTTCTATATATTTCCCACTCTCTTAGAGAAATTTCTCTGTCTTTTCACAAAATTACATCTTCAAAGAAATTTGTAATTAATTCTCTGATTTATATATGTAGCGTTGTTGTTGGTTCTGGTTCTGTGAAAAAAGCTTTGAGAGCATCTCTCACAATTGTTTGAAATTTCACTGAGAAACTTGTAGCTAGGGAAATTCTCACAGCTACTTTTAAATTTCTCTAATTTGAGAAAGGAAGGGAAAATAAACAATCATAAGTAAACTCACATCCAATGTAAGGGTGTTTATGGATGCAATTGAGATTTGGTGAATGAATAAAAAATAAAAAATAAAAAAAAGAAGCTTTTGATAGATAATTTTCTCTGCCCTCTCTGCTTCTCATGGACTTAACACTCCAGAGAAATTTGAAAATTTTTCTAACTTCACCGGCCTTCTCACAAAATTACCCCTCCAGAGAAATTTTAAATTTCTCTAGCCTTCTTAGCCTTTCATGGACTCTCCAGAAATTTCTCTGCCTTCCATATACTTCCCACCCTCTAAAGAAATTTCTCTGCATTTCCACAACATTACCTCTCCAGAGAAATTTCAAAATCAACCCAGAGAAATTTTAGTTCAAACCTAAAGAATTTCTGTAATATAGCTCAAGAGTATCTATTTCAAATGTTTTAAGGCATTGTAATGCCAAAAGTAAGCTACATTCAGAACCAGAAAACTATTACATCCAAAGTCAGAATAGTCATAAAATACATTGAATCGCCACTATTGAATTTCAGCCACCGCGAGCTTCTCTTCTTGCAACAATAGCAACTTATATATATATATATATATATTAAAATGTTTTTTTGCTGATGTGCTTCTCTGTTTTTTCCTTTACAATATATAATTTCAGACTATGGCAGAAAGGAGTTTGGAGAGAGAGCACGAATCGGACCTTTGTGAGGAGAACTTCCTCAGTCCAATCTGTCAACTATTGGAGGGAGTTGAATGATCTCGATAGTGAAATTGGCGATAGTGAATACATGGACTACACGATGCACATTCCACCAACACTTGACCATCAACCCATGGATCCATCAATCTCTCAGAGGAGAAAGACATTTAGTGGCTAGAGATTCAACCAAGGCTTGATGGTTGAAGTAAATGGAGGTTTCGGGAGTGGCTAGAGATTCAACCAAGGCTTGATGGTTGAAGTAAATGGAGGTTTCGGGATATGAGAGGAGAAACAGGCGGTGGCGGTGGCGGTGACGGTGACAGTAACGCAGGCGGAGCAGACGGTAGAGTCGGGTCACGGACGTAACAGACTATGGCAGAAAGGAGTTTGGAGAGAGAGCACGAATCAGAGCTTCAAAACAAAGACAAGAACCACCGTGCCAACGGCAGCGACACGGCGGACTTCCTTTCTCTTGCGGCGACGAAGACGAAGAAGAAGAAGCCCCAAATCTCAACCTCTGTGTACTTCAACCACAAAGTGTTCAATTAGATAATCGACCTCTAGGGCTCGTTCCCAGATTAATCAAGCTCCCTTAAAGTCCTTTTGGGACTCTTCCCATTGAGCATACTTGATCCAAACACTGGTGATCCATCGAACTCAACGATCTACTTTTGTTCTTTACTTTGCTATTACGAAAGAGAAAGAAGATAGAGGCTTTGTGATCAGCGATTTGCGATAGTTGAAAAAAGAAAGGCGTCTAGTGGTGGTGATCAAAATGAGGTAGATAGAGAGAGACAAAGAGAGAGAGAGAGTCAAATTTCTCTAATATATGTTTAGGGATCTTAGATATCAAAAAATAATTTTGTGGATCTCTTTTATTATGAAAAGTGGGAGATGGACCCTAGACTAATTTTCCCTATAAATATTAGGTGGAATTTTTTTTAATTTCTAACATTGTTTATTATATAACTAGCCTTACAGTACAAGAAATACATAAAAATTTTGAAAAATACGGGACATTTTCACTTAATTCAATGTATTTCTTTTTAAGATTAATTTATTTTTAGTTATTTTACTTATTTTTAAGACACCTTTTATTTCAATCTCAATATTAAACATTGTCTCAGAGCCATCATTTAACATTTGCCTGGCATGATATAATGTTAAATTTAAATAATAAAAAGAGAAAGCTGTCATTTCTATTTCACTTTACTTCAAATACACTCTTTTGTTGGTCCTTATTATATATATGAAGAAAGTATTTGAAGTAAAGTGGAATATGAATAGTAACCGTATATAATAAGGATAAAGAAAGAAATATATTTAAAATAAAATGGAATGAAAAAAGTTCCTCCTTAAAAAAAAAAAATTCACAATGTATGTTTAGAGGAATAGAATTTTGGAATGGTAAATCCTATAATTTTAATTTCATAAAATATATATGTATAAAAATAAATAATAATTTAAAAAATATATATTATCATGTATTGTTTATTTTGGAACGCAAAATGTATAGAATTTCTTGATTGATGTGGACACAAATTCATGAGAGTTCTAAAATGTGCTAATAAATTCCATATACTTATGATCATATATATATAATGTCATGTATTGTTGATTTTGGAACTCAAGATTTGTAGGATTTCTTGATTGATGTGGATACAAATTCATGAGAATTCTGAAATATGATTCTAAATTCTATATATTTATGATCTTGTGAGATGCTTCTCTCTAATTTACTCTGTGAATTGAAATGTATTGTTGGGTTCATTAGATTTTTCATGGGTTCTTTTTTAATGATCCAAATAATTTAATATATACAATTCATCGATTATTTTATACTTGTAAAAAATTACAGTAATTGGATATCATTAACTCCGTAATCGGAATACATTTTTATTAATAATTTATTTTTAAAATTATATTTACCATTGATAAAAATATATTCCAATTAAGAGACTATAAATATCTAATCAACATAATTTTTTATAAACATAAAGTACTCAATAAATTTTACATATTAAAAATTTAAATTGTTAAAACAAAACTCATAATAAATTTTACAAACCCAGCAATATACTTTTATCCACCCAATAAATTGGGAGATGCCTCTCCTTTCTAAAATTTCCAAGAGAGACGCGGGTGGACATTGGAAAAAATTGCATCATTGGGATGGGCTGAATTTGAGTTTGGTGTGTGGCGGCTTTGTGCTATATCAAGCAAAATGGGGACTTGCTTTGGTCAAGAGATTTTATTTTAGAATTGATTAGGTGTGTTCGTTATATAATCTTTTGAACCGCGTACAAATTGACTTGTCTTAAAGAGGGTTTTAACTTACCTAACTTACACGTAAACTCAACCAACTAGGCCTAGCCTAGTTGGCTACTATGCTTTCTTTAAGATTTATTAAAAGAGTTAAATTAAGGGAGTGCTTAAATATTTTGTCAAGTGTTGAAAGATTTTTTTTTATTCGTACTAATCTAACAACTTATAATTAACATTTACCGATAAAAAAAAATACTTACACATAAACTCGCACAAATCGTACTCAAATTGCATATGAATTGATTAGGCATTATTTTACACAATTCTATTTATTAAAAGTCTTTTAATATTATGCTTAGAATTTTAAAGACCACAGCTTATGATTATGATTAGGTGTGTTCGGATACACGTGGGCTATATAATTTTTTGGACCGCATTCAAATTGACTTGTCTGAAAAGTAACATTTATTTGAGGATTAGGTTAGATAAAATTGTTAATGAGAGAATAGTTAGTGAAAAAATTATTAATATAGGAATTATTAGAGCATCTCTAATGGTTGAACAAATTTTTTACTAAATTTGAGTAAAAAAAAGTCAATTTTCTTATTCTGATATCAACAGCTCCAACCATTCACTGTAGCGTGCATCAAACAGAGAGGGTTGTCCGGGGGGTCGACTAGCCGGTCGATTGGTAAGAGCAAATTTCTAGTTTTTGCCTCATTTCTGTTGGTTGAAAAAATACTAAGATTTTCGACCGGGGGGTCGATTGGGTGGTCAATCGGGTGGTCGACCTCGTAGTGTAAAATTTTCACAAATTTCTGCTTCAACGGTTATGCACAGTGAATTGGTGAAAGGAGCAAGCCGTCCTCAGTTTGGTGAAATGTTTGATGTTTTCTCAATTTAATACTGTTTTGGTGCAACCGTTGGAGTACAAAAAGCAACTTTTTTTCATCAAATTTGAATTTGATGTTGAATTTGGTGAACGGTTGGAGATGGCCTTAGAGCATCTCCAACCGTTAATTTCTTTTTTCACCAAATCTGAGTAAAAAATAGGTTGTTTTCTCAATTTGATACGGTTTCCTCCAACGGTGAGCATCAAACCTGTCGAACAAAATATATGTAGAATTGAGGGAAGGGTTGACCGGTAAGACTAATTTTTTTTTTTTTAACCTATTTGAACCTACCTATTTGAAAGGGAACCGGTCAACCGGTTGGTCAACCGGCCGGACATCCAACTGGTTGACCGGTTGGTCTCCCCCAACGATAAAGCACAGTAAAATAGTGAAATTTGGAACCTGTTCTCACTTTAATGAATTTTTTGTTTCATTCTCATTTTGATAACAATTTGCTGAAACTATTGGAGTTCCAAAAAGTAACTTTTTCACTAAATTTCAAATCTGATGCAATGTTTGGTGAACCGTTAGAGATGGCCTTAGTGAAGAAATTAAGTAAAAATACGTTTGCTTTGATGATAGTATCATAGATGATTAGTAATGAAATTGTTAAATTATTTTTACATTAAAAAAAACTAAAACAAACATGTGCATTTGGTAAAAAAAATTAATTTAAATTAAAAAAAATATTTATATAAAATAGATTCAATCCCCTCACTATTTTTTCCCCCCCACTATTTTTCTAATTACGTCTAAAACTCAGCCAAACTACTCCCCCTACTAAGAGAGATTACTAAATCTCTTGGACTATCAATCCAACCTCTCATTTCACTACCAAAAATGCTGTGGTTAAAACCCACAACCATGATAGTCTAATCCAACCACTCAAATCGCACATGGATTGATTGGTCAGTATTCTATACAATTCTATTTGTTAAAAGTCTTTTAATATTATGTCTAGAATTTTAAAAAAAATTGAATTTCTTTTTCTTTTTCTTCACAAATTCAAGACCACAACTTAAAATTGTGTACCTGTGCATTCTCATCATCTATGCCACTTAACTAAATTTTTTAACTAATGTGACCTGAGATCAAACACAACTTAAAATTGTATACTCGTGCTTTCGCATCATCTGTGCTATTTAATTAAGATTTTCAATTAATGGGGCTGTACATTCTTTTTCTATGACATTAAATTTTAATTGGTTCATTCCACCATTCAATATAAGATTTTATAAATAAATCCAAGATACGTGTAATTACTTGTAAATTATATATATCGGTTAAACGCAAATATTTTTACGTTATTCCCCAAAAATTATATTAAAATAAAGATTCATTCTTATGTACAACTCGTTAAATACTAACAACTTATGTGAATTAATATAACTTTATATGGTAGTCGATAATATTTATAATTTGATCAACGTGCTAACAAACATTAGGGTAGCATTGAAATAAAAGTGAAATAGAATAATTATTTTATTATAATATTTATTTTTATATTTTATTTACTAAAAACAATAATAAGTAAATAAATTTGAGGGAAAAAAATCCAAGTTTTAACCATTGTAACAAAATAAACCTGAATTTTTTATTTTGTCAATTTAAATCTTAAATTTTTGATTTGATTTTAATCTATAAATCATTTGTTATTTCCATTAAGTAAAATCGATGGAAAAATAATATTTTATTCGATAAATTTAATGAAAATGTATTTTAGGTATTTTATGTATATTTTGTTTAATAACTAAATATTTTTTTTCTATCAATTTTACGTAACAAAAATAAATAAATAATTTAGATTAAAAATAAATTCAAATTTATAAAATTCAAATTTTATATTATTAAAATGGTCCTTTTTTTTCTTCGTTCCTTTTTTTTTTTGTAATTGTTGCTAAATTTATGAATGATAGACACTTCTTCTTGATTGATTCCATGTAATATTCCCTTCGATCAGCTATCAAATACCCATTTCGCAGACAACAAACAAACTTGCGTTGAGAACCCGCTTTGAAAATCCTTCACGAATCACAACCATCGTATCATGACATCTTCTTCAATTGAAAACTCAGTGGACAGGTGATTATACATACACATTTGAATCTCAATTTTCATGTTTCTTCAAGATCGATACAATATTTCATCTGGGTTGTGTTTGTTTCTTTCGTTTATTTTATCTACACACCACAACTGCTTCAAATTTTTTGAGTTTGTTTTGTTCCAATGCAACCCAATTCATACCCATTAGAATCCCCATTTCGTATGGATCATATGGTTTTTTTTTTCTTTTTATTTTGTATGATTGTGCTCGTAAACATTACAAGAATCTCCTATATTTTTGTACTACTTTAATGTTTCTTGAATGATTGAGCTCGTACTTTGTGTTTGTGAATTCGCATTTGCAGAAATACACATTTCTGATTGAGTTCGTACTTTGTTGTGTTCCTTCTTCAATCGCATAGTATTTCTAGACATCTTTCATTCACTTTCGATGCATTTGGATTGAGGGATTTATTGAGAAAAGAAAAGAAAAAAATTGAGAAAAAGAGATATCTCATCACTTGTTTGGGTGATTAAATTGATGAGGGAAAAAAAAAAAGAAAAAATAAATCGTAAGAAAAAATAAATCTCTTGGAACTCATGTTTTGATTCAACTAAAATTGTTCTTTAGCAAAAAAAAAAATTTAATTATAATACTTCAATTACCCATCTAAATACAAAGCAAATAAAATAGTGAGGAACTACAATCATTTCCACACCCCCCCCCGTATCCATCCCTCTCAACTAGATGTGAAATCATATCCTTACCATACCAAGTGGACTGTTTGTGATTAAAAATAACTAGATTTCGAACTGGTGTCTTGGCCTAGTGGTAATAAAACAGTGTATTAGCAGTGACAAATGCATATACTATTAAAAATAAAATAGAAAACTAGGTTTGAAGGCAAAGGGGACTCTGCGAAGCTTGTTATTTTATACTGCCTTAGATGTATAGATATTGACATATGTATGTATGCAGAGAATGCTTTTTGATTTCTTTTGGTGAGGAAACTTTTGTCTAAAGAAAAAAGTGTGCATTAGCCTTTTATGTGGTATATGTCCCAATAATGCCAATGGGAGGTTGCGATTTCAGGATTATATATTCAACATGTGTGGTGGGATATTAAGTCATGATAATATCATCCAGCTAGGTCAAATTTTGATCTATGAAATATTGAAATGTTCACTCTATTTTGGCTTCCCTTTAAACAGGGTATAATAGTAGTGACAAATGCATGATTCCAACTTTCGGGGAGGTGAATATTAAATAAGGAGACGCGTATTAAATTTCTAAAAAATCTTAGGGGGCCAAACCTATACAGTTTGATAATATTCATAATGGGTTTTCCTTGAAATTTTTGACGCGGTTGGAAGAGCGTCTCGTCGTAGGAATAATTGCTACCTCTAGTTTGCACTCTCTTTTGAATTACTAATTCCCTTGTGTTAGTTCATTCACGGCTGGTTTGAGTACTAACCACCAACTGATCTGGTAAATGAAAGCACATCAATCAGTGCCATCGCAATCTTAATATTGATCTCATGGTATGGGGGTAGAGCAGCTGACATGAGTTGGCTACACAGAGCAGAAGAAAATTTCAGATTCATTGACATTTTTTAGTGTTTTTTAACTTATTATTGCATTCGTTTTGTGCAGCAGCTCTTGTTCTCTCTCTAGACTTGCTCCTCTCGAAGCAGTACTCTTCGATGTTGATGGAACTCTGTGTGATACAGATCCCATCCACCACCAGGCTTTCAGTGTAATGCTTCAAGAGGTAAATGTATTTTTCTTCCATTTTAATGGTTTATTGGCATGGTCTTTCCATCGACAAATCAAATATATCCAAAAATATTAAAAAAAAAAATTTATATGTTTTATGTGAATGACAAGTGAACCCTCTTTATAATTTCATGACTATTCTTTGTTTTATGTTCTTTTTCAACAAACTGTTTGGGCGTTTAACAGATAGGTTTCAATGGTGGGGTTCCAATTACTGAGGAATTCTTTATTGAGAACATTGCTGGGAGGCATAACAGCGACATTTCTACACGTCTCTTCCCTGATGATTACGAACAGAGCATAAAATTCTTGGAAGATAAGGAAACTATGTTTCGAAGGTAAATTCCACTCTCCTTCTCTAACTTAATTTTTTTTCTAAATATCCAAACTTATAATTTATCTCGTGGAGAAAACAGACTTGCAAAGGATAAATTGAAGCCGATAGATGGCCTTTACAAACTGACAAAATGGGTTGAAGATCATGGTTTGAAACGGGCTGCTGTGACTAATGCTCCTAAACCAAATGCTGAACTAATGATCTCAGCTCTCGGACTTTCTGATTTCTTCGATACTGTTGTTCTTGGGAGTGATTGTGAACGTGCGAAACCATTCCCAGATCCCTACTTGAAGGCTCTTGAAATACTCAAGGTGTCAAAGGATCACACTTTTGTCTGTGAGGTTCGACTTCTATCATACCCTTCTATTTTCTACTGTTAATCTGCTAATCTTCCTACTAGGGCTGCAAACAAACAAAGTTATTCATGAACAACTCGAACTCAGCTAAACTAAGGCCTAGTTTGGGAAGACTAAATAAGTGTACTTTTTGACTTTTTATGAAATATGGATTGGGTTTGGGTTGGATTTGAAGTGATGTGTTAGAGAGATGATATGACTTAAATAAGATGATGTGACTTAAATAGGATAGTGACTTTTTGACTTTTTGTCTTTTTTCAATCATGCCAAACTTGACCTAAAGCTCATTTGTGCTCAGTTCGTTTACTCAATGAACGAGCTTGAGCTTTTAGGCTCGTTTAGTAATCAAGCCAAGCTCCAGTAGCCCAAGCTTCGCTTGATAAGGCTCGTGAGCATAAGCAATATGAATTGATATTTATTTTTATTTTTTAATATATCAAATATAATTTTATTAATTTATTTTATGTCTCCATTTATGTTTTGTAGATTTATTATCAATATGAGCATTCTTTTATTTTGCTCATAGTTTGTGATTAATTTAAGTTTAATTTTTCCTTCCAAGCTTGGTTTGTTTATGTAATCAAATTGACTCAAGCAAAGCTCAAATTTCTCAAATACTTGACAAACCGAGATCAATCTTGATTTTTTAGGCTCAACTTGAGCTTGACTTAGCTGAAGCTAAACTAATTTTTTTAGCAGACTAAGCTCAAACACCCCAAAGCTCTGCTCAGCTCAACTCGTTTGCAGTTTTTCTATAACTATGGTATATTTTTTTTGTTTTTTTTTAGGATTCTGTTTCTGGAATTAAAGCTGGGGTGGCAGCTGGGATGCCGGTTGTTGGTTTAAAGACCAGGAATCCAGAACATTTGCTGATGGAAGCGAAGCCTGCGCTTCTAATAAAGGATTATGAGGACCCAAAATTGTGGGCAGCATTGGAAGAGCTTGATAGGAAGGCAGGCGCAGCTTGAGATGATTGTATATCATCATAGCAACTAGCGGAGTAGAAAATACTGCAGAAAAAATCAGAGGGCCACGCTGAATAATTATATATGCTGGAGAGGAGCTGTTGCGTCCTTTTAAATAATTCGTAGACACAATTTATGAACTTATTATACCATTAATATTGTTTAGTGAATGATGGTGGCATGAAGATGAGTTTTGGAATCATTACTAATGGAAACACATTCAGATTCAATCTCTCTGAGTGAATGTCAATGTTTTCTTCTGTATTCCCTTGGACCCAAAGAAATGGAAGTTGAATAATTTATAATAATCAATATGTATAATGTTCTTAGATTATTCTTTAGATATGGGTCCCTATTACGCCTACCTTTGGTGGATCCACTTTAAACTTCACCTTCATGATTTGAGCCATTCATTCTGTAAAACTTAACAAAAATATTATATATGCTAAAAAGAAGTGAAATCAATTTGTTTTGAAAAAGGATAATTTAGTCTCACAATCATATTTGATGTCAATTCTTTTTAAAACATATGTAATCTTATTATATAATTATTGATATCCAAATAATTTATTTGATCTACTCTACGAGTCCTAAGAGCAATTTAAATCATGAATATAGGCCCAGAGTGAGCCCAATCTCCATTTATAATGTTCTAAAATGCACAAGATGTTATTATATTATTCTAGTGAATCCTGTTTCATATATCAAAGTTTCTGCATGTCAAAAAAATGAAAAACTGCTAATCCAACGAAGTATAGCACAAAATCCAAATGAAGGAGAGAAACAAGTTATATGTCACAATGTTTCAGCATCCAAACTCAAGAAAACTATTATAAGCTTGCAAAGCTAAAAGAGGGACCATAAACTGAACAAAATCAAAACAATCATAAATCTTCATTGCCATATTATGAAGGAATCGCTCTATACATGCATGAATGATGCATATCCATCTTGCTCATCTTCATCTAGTCCATAACACAGAATCAATTTCATCCCTGGCAGACTTGTATAATTCAAGCCTCCTCCCACATTGCTGCCTCCTCTCCATTAACACCGGATCTTCATCAAGCAATTCTGCAAGCTGCCGGCCCTATACAGTAACAAAACCATTCAATCAACAAATGATTGTCACCAGTAAAAAATATTATCACCTGAAATTAGCAGTTGAACACTCCATGAATTCTGAGAGGAGTCAATGAAAATATATGCTATGCTGGTATGATTGGAAATATTTTTGTTTTCTTTGTTTTCAGAAACAAAAATAAATAAATAATAAAAATCAAAATCAAGAAGAGTTATGCAAAGCAAGCCTCCTTCTCTGGAAACTTCGGATTTGTTTAGTTGTGTTTATGTTTTTGTTTAGAAACAAAACAATGAAAACTTCTAAAACACCTATCATTTTCATATTGTTTTCATTTTTGTGAGAAAACAGATTTCAAAGTTCAAGGATAACTTTTTATTGTTTCTTAAAAAGTGGGTTGTTTTCAAAAATTATTTCCCAAAAACAGTTTTTGAAAACAGTTTGCCAAACAAATTTAACGTTTTCACGTTGAACCTGATCATTATCCTACCTATTGTGCATTAAAGAGGGTGAAGGAGAGAGGGAGGGACTGTCACGTGTGTGCTTGGAAAGGTGGGGGTTGCATTGGTCGAAAGTGCAGATAATTGTTGTATACCTCCTTTTTCCCAATTTGTGTATAGAAGTGGTCGAGTAAAGACTGCTTTGCCTCCCGAATTTGACAATACACCACAGCTTTCGGAATGGTATTCCTGAGAGTCTCCAACACCATCACAACATAAGACGAAACATTTGATCCTATCCTCCGGAAATGACCCTCTGTGTAGCGGTCCACAGAAGAGGCAGCTGGAATCCCTCCCTTATCCACTTCCTGAGGGAGTCTGCGGAAAAAATCCACAGTCAGGTATGAGGACTCCATGTCCACCATTCGCAACACTGTCTTTTTACTGTCATCACGGAACCTCTCCAATGCTTCATTGGCAGCTGCTGCTATGTCCGCTTGGAGAGTTGGAAAACGTTTCAACTCCTGCATGACAAAAAATATAAACTTACATCACATATTATTAGGTCCTTGCATTAAAGGAAACCAGTATCATTCCCATATATCAAACCTGAGTTTCTCCGATTGACTTTCTCACAAGCTCCTTCAAAATGAAGTGTACCTACAACAATGCCAATTAATGGTTTTCAATACATCTTATCAACTCAACAACAGAGACCGGGAAAGCATCATATGAAAATTATGTTATTTCATAGCAATGGAAAAGTATTGATGTCTGCAGAAGCTTTTTCAGCTATATTACATGTTAAAATGCTCATGTAAATAACAATCAGTACGTAGATTTTGATTACTTTGTTCAAATTTCGAATGACTCCAATAATTTTGGCAACAACTCCATTCTTATTCTAAAAAATGAATATATGCTTCAATCAGTGAAGAAATGGAATGATTTCATTTCCAACTGTTTGCAAAGCACCCCATAATAACATCCGACAAAGCTTCCTTTCTCATAATAAATAATTACAATGAAATCAATACCTAGTATGGCTCCCCCCCCCCCCCTCAAAAATAAAAAAAAATAAAAAAAAGGAGCACATAACGAGCACATTTTCCATCTACAAAGGAAATCATAGTAGCAATAAAGAGAGAAAACAAGATAACAAGCTCTTACAGCATCCACTGAAGCTTCTGCTGGGCCTTTAAAATAATTAAGGGCCCCTTCAATAAGGCGTCGGTAACCTTGCTCCGGTGCAATCAGATGAGGTTGGTATCCATCTGCCTCTGAAACCACTTTCCTTACATTCTGCAGTGAAAGGTGACGATCAAATGGAAGCTTCCTTAAAGCAGCAGGCAACTGATAGTCAAAAACTCCGTAAATCCGATCTCCGCCGGGTCGCCTGAGAATAAAATGAGGATTATTATCAGGTTTAAAGGTTCCTCAAACTTCTTTCACCAAGCAGATGGAGACAAAGGATTATGATCTAAAGAAAATGTGACTGGTTCTTTTTCTGAGGTGGTGGTGGTATTTTGTTTGGGGTGGGAGAGTTGGGGAAACAGGGGGGCGGGGGGAAGAAAAAGTACCTTGTTTGGTTTAGTTTTTGAAAACTGTTTTTGATTTTTTGATTTTTCATGTTTTTATGTCTTTAGATACCCCTAAAAAATAAAATATTTGTGAAGAAATCTGAAAATTGTTCACTAAAAACAAAAAAAACCCACGGAAAAAAACCACAGAGACGTGCTGGGTTCTTTTTTTCCAGATTTTTCACAGATATTACATCTTACCCTCCATCAAGGTGCTCCTTAAATATCCGATCAAATGCACGGCAAAGCTCTAAGATGGTGTATAACTGGGCCTGCCAAAATAGAAAACAAAACCCATCCAGTAAAACAAATTTGAGTATGAACCAAAATATATCATTGCATAAATAAACGAGGCAAATATAAGCTCCCTACCCCTGCATCAACAGCAACTGTTCTACCAAGGTGGTTCAACTCTGCTTCAAGTTCGTTAATGCTTTGGTTAATCAATGACATAATACCTGGTATGCGAGCCTTGATGACAGACTCTAGTTGCTGAAACAAAATACACTCTAGGTGATAACAAGCCCTTCTATATATACTATCTCAAAAAATAAATGAAACATTCAAGATATTTATTTAAATGCAATTAAGACCAACTATACCCACTAAACCTAACCCACTACACCACTACCACCTCCACTTCACCTACTCTCCACCTACTCCCAAACACACTCCTATATAATAGGAATCCTTGTAATTGTAATATCTACACAAATCAATATCAATCAATAATACATTGAATTTTAACTTATTTATTTAAATGCAATTAAGACCAACTATACCTTAGAGAGAAGTTTTGCAAGATATTCCGAACCCATTCTGCTGGCTAAGTGTCCATAGTCAGGATTGGTGGCAAAGAATTCACGCTCCCTACGCCTAGCATCAAGCATGTCAACATTTCTATTTATATCAGCCTGTGAACGGTTTACAATTCCAACCCAAGGATGCTGCAGTCGGTAAGATCTTCCTTCAAGAACCTGCAACATAATACAAACCAATATTGAGAAAATGAGAGACCCAGTATTCTGCATCCATGCATTTTTTATGGTATAAGTTTATAGATCTTGCTCCACAAAATTTACAAATGCATGAGATGAAAGGATACAAAAAATTGCAAAGTAGAAGTGATTTTTGGAATGATAATTAGACGGTTACTCATAACACTTGTATTGACAATGGCCAAGTAAATGATCTCCCCTGCAATGGATTCTAAGAAAACAGTTGAATAAGAGTTCTTAACTCTCCACCAAGAACAAGTCCAGTTTTCTGCATTTCTAAACAATACTTGTTACAAGGTAAGAGAACTTACATCTAATGCATTTGTTCCCCTGTCCATCAAATCAAGCTTTGTCAGCACACCAAATGTCCTTTCACCTATGCATTAACCATGCAATCATACAATAAGAAAAACAAAAACAAAAAATATAGTGGCAACAATACAACCCAACCAAGAGTAATGCATTAGGTAAAAAATATGAACAATATGCAGAAGTACCATTAGGATCAACTTCTCGAGCAAGCTTGATAGCATCAGATGTTGCGACATCTTGATTGGCTGGAGTTATGGCTAGGATAATGCAATTTGGCTGCAACCCAAGAACCACATATTCATAAATTAACAAAGTTCAGCATCCCATCTAAACTACAAGAAATTGTAGAAAAAAATGATCTTATGCCTGCTTGATGAAGAATCACAACAGGAATTTCAAACAGGGAGGTGTATGAAAGAAAAAAATTAGCTATTGCCATTTCAACACCTGTATGCTGCGTAGAATCTGACAAACTACACCTATAAAGCATTTATTTTGAGCAAAGAGATTACAAAATTGTTTCTCTCGGAAATAATTAACACTCTGTATGAGATTCCAAATTATGGGATTCATGAAGTATCATTATGCATTGCTTACAAAGAAACCTTTTATTATTAACTTGCAAAAAGAAACCGTAGGGCAGGAATACTACAAAAATAAATCAGCCGCTTCAATTTTATTCTTCATTACCTTCTCCCCTTTTATGAGGTCTCCCTCAATTGTATTACAACCGAGAAAAACAAAGAAGATATGCATACACTACTGATTTGTTTTTGGATTTACCTAAATTTGATGCACATTGTTTAGCATTATTAAATGTACGTATGCATGTATGTACATATTTAGATGTATATATAACTATACAGTTATATATGTTCCCATTACCTTCTCTACATAAGAGTGAACCATGTTTTCAATGTCTTGAACAATACTCTCTGGCTGTCCCTCTGTCAATAACCAACAACTTGTAGTTCACATTAGAATTTAGAGGGATAAAATACTTGTGAATAATGAAGTTTTTAACACTTCATTATGGGCAGGCCGAAAATAATAAGGAATGGGAGAAAATCATACCTACGGCAACTTTAGTTAGACCAGGTAAATCTATCAATGTTAAGTTAACAACTGCCAAGCAAAATGGTCCATGAATATCCATCAGATAAAAATGAAGTGTTAAAAACAAAGAGATAAACATGTCATAAATTCTTAACAGCGGATCATGAAGAATTAGACAATAACATAAAAACAGCAGCAATCCCCTAAAAATTCCATGTATGGTTCATTGGACAATATTGGTATCTAGGTATATTGATAAGAAATCAATGCATAAATAGATTTTTTTTCCCCCAAACATATAGTATAATTCAAATTGCAAGTGATACATGCAACATCAACATATTGAGTACATGACCTAGATCACTACACTCTGAACTATTTATTGACGCATTATTTTCAAACAAACAAAAATGTAATTCAATGCGTCAAACATAAATGTAGATGGGAAAATAAAATCGCCAAGCAAAAAAATGTACGAAACAAGTACATTAGAAAACGATGGAGGGCCATGTGGTAAAGATGATAATGTTACTTATCACCTAACTTATTGCTTAAAAATCTATTGCCATGTAAATTTTATTGCAAACCCGCTACATAGACTAACAAAGTTGGCTAGATGGGACAATAGCACACCACCTGTTTAATAATTTGAATCATAAAAAAGGGGGAAATAAAAAATTCATGAATCACCATTGGGCGAGTAGATGCTGAGATTAATAGGAAGTGGAGAAATATGTTTTGTCTTGCCAGTCACTCTGTCTGTTTCATCTTGAATTTCTTTCTGTACTAAAGCTGCATAAAAAAATTCAGAGATAACTTTAGTTAAAAAGTAAAAAGAATTTCTATTTCATGAGCAACCAAGCAAGCAATCAACCACATATGAGAAATATTATCTTTGTTAATATACATAAACATGCACAATGATATTGCCAGTCAACAAACAAATGCACAAGTAATATTACTAGAAATGACATAGCAAAATTGTACCATCAATCTGGTCTCTCAATCATAGAACTTAAATAACAAGTAATGATGTAAAACAGATAAAATAAAATAAAAAGGTGGAAAATACAGAAGATTGTTTAAAGTTGCCTATAAAGACATGGATATATGGAGGCATATTTATCTTTGTGTGTGCTTTCATACTTTCGTGCAGTGACAGTGAGAAGGAAAAAAGGTTCAGAAGTAATTGCCTAAAGTAATTTCCAATATTTGGCATCAACATATGAGTTAGTGCATTCCAATAAGGGTTTACAGATGTATAAAGACTTACCTTCCAACTCCTTTACAAAAGAGGTCCATAATTCGTATTCCTAAATAACTAAGAACATAATATTGTTGACAAAACAGGTAAATTAAAAGCTTGACAACATAAAGCATCTTTTTTTTTGGGGATACTTTCATTGGAACTGATCCAACTGGAATAACAAAAACATGAAACAGTGAAACCAAATCACGACATTTGCATAAGATATGACATACAAAAGTCTGTGAATTTTTTGTTCGCCTGGTGAAGAAACTGGGCATACTCCTCTTGTCCTTGCTCTGTCTTGTGTAATTGCAACACCAAAGGCCTCCTAGTCACAATCCCTGAAATTATTACATAACTAGTGAGGTAATCCAAGCTAATCAATTACTACAAAACTTTCTGTCATATTGATCGCTGAGAAACTGAAAATAAAAAATTTATTGAGAAAAATGCAACCACTTGAATCATTTCTCCAGTTAAAAAAAGGTGTCAACTCAAACTACAACTTGTAGCCACATCTTTTTAGGCTTTTAGGTCCTAAATTATGATCAAATTCAATTTTAACCAAAAAAAACAAATCGACTTCAATTACACAAAGGAAAATGCGTGGTAGCTCGAGAGTGGGTTGGCTCGAACGGCTCGACAGCCCAAAACGACATCGTTTTGAGCTGTTTTTTTTTTTTCCCTTCTTCTTCTTCGTCGTGCTGGTCTGAAACCAGAGGGAGAGGAGAGGGAGAGGGAGAGAGAGGAGGCAGGTCGTCCGTCGCAGCCTTCCGCCGTCGCCTCTGCCCGATCGTCGCAGCCCCGCATCAGCTGATCGTTGTCGCAGCCTCCGCGCCTCCGCCCCTCCTCCGCCTTCGCCCCCCGCCTCCGCCTCCCCCCCGATATGTTGGCCCCCTCCAGTCCCTCCTCCTCCTCCTCCTCCGCCCTCCTCCAGCCTCTCCCTCTCCCTCCTCCTCCTTCTCTCTCACTTTTCGAGCCAATTTCGAGCCGAAGCTCTCGAGCTACCAATCGCTACCGTTACACAAATGTCCACAACCGGAAGACATAAAATTTGGCTTAAATTTCATTTTTTATCTTCTCTCAACAACCAAACATGCCATTAATCAAAATCAAAACCTCAAAAAATAATTTTTTTTTAAAAAAAATTATAGGAATTGGTTACCTGATCCCCTTGGGAGAAAATCCCTACCAACAATGCTCTCCAACACTGAAGATTTCCCAGAACTCTACAAAACCACATAATAAAAAAAACACGCACACAATTCACAAATCAAACCTGACAAAAATATACAAATACAAGATCAACAATAAATATATATATACACACACAAACACACATAGAGTGAATGCGTGTGCGTGATTCACATACATGCATATATATACCTTTACAAAACACATCATGAACAACAGCACAAATCAAAGGTAACTAAGGATAACAAGAAGAAACACAAACTCTGATATATACACATACAGAGAGAGACTGCGTGATGAACAGAACGAATAACATCCATAAAAAGCGATCTTAGAGAGAGAGAGAAAGAGAGAGAGAGAGAGAACCTGACCGCCGACGACGACGATGGTAGGAAGAGAGTCCCAGAGAGTAGGCAAGGCATTGTCGGCGCCATAGTCGCCGAGGACCGTACATGCCTTCTGGATGCGATTGACGAGTCCGATAACACTCTCCATCGCCGGAAAATCGAGGACTCCGTCGTCCGATACAGAAACCCTACGGCGGCGATGGCTGGAGCGAACAATTATGGAAGAGACGATATAGACGGAGATATACGCAGAAGCACAGAGGAAGAAGAAGAGAGTGAAGAAAGCTATTTTTCTTTTTTTGTAATTAATAATTAATTAATTAATAGTATTTTTTGACTTGGGAGAGACGGTTATGTTGTGCGTTGTGCGTGGTGCGTGTTGGCTGGTTGGTTATGAGTTGGTCTAAAGGCATATTGCGCCACGTTAGCAGTTTTTATAGTGGGGCTTGTGACTTTAGGGGGACTTTCAAATGTTTTGAAAATAGGGTCTTTGGCGGGCTGCTTTTAAGTAATTTGGTTTCATTATGGGTATCATTGTCTGCGAGGTACATTCTGCACTTTTTAAAAGTGTGTGATGTAGAAATTATTATTAATAATTGGGGGAATTATATTTGAGTGGAACACCTTGAGGATTAGGGGTTGTTTGGCATATATTAAAAATGTATACTTTTTATTTATTTATTTATATTTTTTATCTTTATCTTTTTTGAGTCACATCACTTCTATACTTTTTTACACATCTTTTAATACAAAATTAAAAAATGTACTTATTTAACACTTTCCAAACAAGCTCTAAATCTGTCGTCAATGATCGTTTTGTTTGAATTCATAAGGGCGTACCTTGTGAGGTTGTCATTTTTATGTTTCTTCATTCATCTTCGACGATGAACACGTTGCTTGGTTGCTGGGAAAAGACAGGGAAGGAAAGAAAATTACTCTGTTTATTTGTAATTTTTTAAATTTATTTTTTAGAAAATTTATTTTTTTATTTTTCATATTTTTTATTTTTACTGAATTTTTTTAATATTTTAAGTAATTTTTAAAATTTTTAAACACTCTTAACATAAATACACATAGAAAATATATTATTTGTAACCAAAAAATATTAAAAAATTCACTAAATATCAAAAATACAAAAAAAAAATAATATATTTTTCGTATTTTGTGTATTTATTAATTTTTTAAAATATTTTTTTATAAATAATTTACTATTTAGATACATCTAAGTAAGGTATATCTAAAAAAGCAAAAAAAAAATTGTTTAAAATTTAAAAATTATTTCACTAAAAACAAAAAAATTCAATTTGCAAAAAACTAAAACCAAAGACATTAAATGATATGTATACGCTACAACTCTTCACTTGCACTTTATAATACAATAATTTGTACCAATATATTGTTATAATTTTTTTTTTCTTTCTGTTTCACTGCTCTATAATTTCTCCCTTAATAAATTAAGGCCTCATGTTCCCTGAGTCGGCGCGCATTTGTTTCGTTGAGTAACTCCCCCTTGATTGATGTAGTAGTCTAACCTTTGAGGACAATTGTTCCTAAAGTGCCATTCTTGGCCACATTCGTAGCCCCTTCTAGCCCCTTCCCTACCACGTTGTTCAGGATTGTATCCTTGCTGTTGTTGTTGCCCCTTAGCATAGGGTACCGAAGTAGCAGGGATCTTATTGTTCCTTGAGAGTCCTCTGCTTCTTTGCTGGTTAGCTCTAGACTGTTGACCGTGAGTCTTTGCAGTGTCCATCTTCTCTCTTTATAAAGTCAGAGCCCTATCTACTACCTGTGCATAAATAGGTAGCTGTACTGCAACCAACTTGTCTCGGGTTCCCGAGTCAAGTCTGCACTCAAAGCGCCTTACCTTGTCTGTTTCATTTGCCACTATAGTTGTGGCATGGCAAGAAAAGACCTCAAATCGATTGGAATATTCTGTCGCAGTCATGCCCCTTTGTTTTAGTTGGAGAAATTCTTGGATCACCTCCTGCCTTATCGAGTTTGGAAAGTACTTTTCCATAAAAAAATTCCTCGAACTGTCTCCAAGATAGCTCTGCCACTTGACGGCTTTCCTTAATCATTGTCCACCAGAAATCGGCCTCCCCGTCGAAGAGAAATGAGGCGAGGGACACTTAGTCCTACTCGTTCTGAATTTCTAGCGACTCTAATATTTTCTTCACTTGCCTTATCCAAGCCACAGCTGTGAAGGGATTGGGTTCTTCAAAAAAAATTTGGGGCCTGAGTTTTTGAAATTTCGCTATTAATTATGCCTTGTTGTTTTCACGTCTGGGTTGGTTTCTTAGTTCATTAGTAATTGCCCGAACAAAGTTCATGACATCACTATTGTTGTTGTTGTTGTTGTTGTCATTGGATCCATTAGCCCCAGTTCTTTATGCCATTTTCTGTATGAAGGATATTGTCGTTACACCCTTTATTTATTTATTTATTATTTATTATTTATTTATTTTTTTGTTGATAAAATGCATGTAAAACAATCCAAGTTGAACACACAAACCTTTAAATACTAAGATTTCATGAATAATAATAAAAGATTAGTATATTCATAAAAAAAAAAAGAAAAAAAAATCATTCTACCCCTTCCCATCTCATTGCGGTATTTTTGCCAAAAATCCTAAGTTAGAAACTAGGACTATTACAATTAAGCCCTACAAAATTTGGTGTTGTCCTAACTTCTACACTTGCCATCTCCAAACCAAGCAAGTGGGCACAACGTTGACGCACTGTCTTCTCCAACTCCCATGCCTCATCGAGTAGCCCATAACACTCCTAGCGGACAATGACCATCCGCACCCCATTCTGACACACCATTCGCCTAATTAAGCAGGTGGGGATCTCATGATATGTGGCATCTCTATAAAAATTCACCAATGGGTCTATCTTGGAGCAAAAATGCATCACCCTTGTTTGCGACATACTGTGGTGGTAGGTTTCATACTCGATAGAAATTATTGTCCAGATATTCTCTTATCTAGACTGGCCCGATAAACATGTCCATTCTAACAGGCGTAACCCTTACAAATACTGCTTTCTCGTACGGCAGGGCGGGCACCTTCATGTGTCTCAAGGCCGCCTTAGGGCCGTCTTCTGTCAAGGATTCAAGATCAAACTCCTCCAATTCCTAATTAGAGTCAGACTCAGAATCGGAATTACCCGCAGCTCCTACTCCGAATTCTTCTTCCAAGTTCTCTTCTGGCTTTTCTTCTGGACCCTCCTTTGGATCCTCCTCCCAATCAAAAGGTTCTTAGGTTCCTCCTCAGACCATCCATTCTGATTTTCGTTTGCCATCTACAAGATCAAAATTTTACTTAGTAACTAAAAATGCTCACTATGACCACTGTTACCCAAAAGACAACTTAAGAGGGGGGTGAATTCGGTTTTTATAATTAAAATTAATAATACCCTAATAAAAATTATGACTAGCATAATAGATAAATATAATTAATGAAATAAAAATAATTAAAACAAGTGTCTTAACAACTATGTTAGTTAATGATTTTAGCACAGTAAAAATGTGAAATATAGCTATGGCAATTTAAAATAAAATAAAGAGATAAGGAAAAGAGAGGCAAGCAAATTTATAGTGGTTCGGCTTCAACTCGGCCTACGTCCACTCATTATACTTCACTTGAGATTTTCCACTATACTCTAGTTTCACAGAGTGCTAGCAACCTTTTCACAGATGGAGCAATCCTCTACAGATTTTACACTGACTTTCTAAGTCAAGAACACTGAGTGTACTACACTCTTATAAGGTTGAAAAGAAGCTGTTTTTGCTTTCACAGAAAGTTACAAGAATTATCTCTCAAAGATAGATATAAAAATGAAGCTCCGATTTTTCTGTAAACCTCACACATGAAAGATGGGCTTAAACCTATAAGGCTCAGTGTATAATTTTTTAAAATAGATGTGAGTGATTATAGATCAAAGAATATTTTCAGGTTTTTATAACTTGTTTACACTAGAGGCTTTGGTATATATAATGAAAATTATAGCCGTTTATAGCCGTTGTAGTCATTTGAATTTATAGTCATTTATAGCCGTTGTACTCCATCATTACTAATTTGAATTTCTTCCTCTCTATCATGACAAATTTGAATATCTTCCACTTAAACCTTTTGAACCTTTTGGCCTACTGCTGTGTTGGGCTGTTTGAACCTTTATTTTTGACTGTTTGAACTCCTGATTTAATCAAATATTAAATACATTCTAACAACATTTAGGATAAAGGTTTAGGTGAAAAATAATGGGACAAAAATAAATTTTGATTCTATTTTTCTCTTTCAAAATAAATTTTGATTCTATTTTTCTCTTTCAAATAAATCATCAAAATAAATTTCGATTCTATTTTTCTCTTCCAAATAAATTAAAAACATAATTAAACAAATCATCAAAATAAATAAGTCTAACAACCACTACTAAGTTATTTAACAAGCAGGCTTACGGTTCTTCAAGGTCTTAAGGGTTTCTCAACCTATACTCTGATACCAAGTTATGACGCCCCAAAATTTGAGGACATTATAATAAGGTTTAAAACTTAAAATCAATTTTCTTAATTAAGAACTTCTAATCATTGTTACTACCAAGTTTGCCATCATCCATTAATTAACAAAACATAAATTAAAAGTTTTTAAATTACGACTCCAATCAAACTTAAAGCTTAGTCTTAGTACATTCATGAAAGAAAAACGCAAATATAAAAAGAAAACTAGATAAAAATTAAAAAACTCAAAAAAATGGTTCATGGGACATGGGCACACTTCAAGCTAACCAAGGTTGAATGTCACCATCCAAGACCTTGCGGTGTTTCCTTCAGTTTCTTCGGTACCTGGCATAAAACACAAGGGCAACAGGGAATGCCAATGATCGACGAGCTCAATAAGATACTACAACTCAAAAATACCCACCCTGATAACAATACTCACAATTAATGAATAATGTGTAGTAACAGAGTAACAAACAACGCTTAATAAGCATATCAAGAATGCTATCAGTTGAAACAATAACAATAGATAATAAGAACAATGGCAAGCGGAAGCAATATCTCATCATAAGGAAAATGCCAACTTTTCTTTTAAATTCACATAGATTTAGTTTATCAAGTAAGTCTAAGTAACTCCCCACGGAGCACTATTCCCACTCAACCGCTAAGCAATGGCCACGGGCAATTCTGACTCCCCCTTGGTCAAATATTCAAATATTAATTGCTATAACTACCAATAATGCCCATGTACTAGGGTTACGTACCCAAGTCGTGACATCAGGGTCTGCCCCAAGGGAAACAGTTTATGTTGTGACACTCGCACCACCAACCTTATATCGCTTATATCGATAAGAGCCGAAATACTTTCCCATGCCATGTTAGGGTTTGCAACTCACTTGTGCAAGACTCTAAAC